CAGCTACATCACGAGTCAGACTCCTTCGTCATTTCCAACTCTTCTCGACTCTACAGTTTCGACTGGCATTAGAGTTACGTTCTCTGGAAATTCAGCGAACCATTGCTTTGTTTTAAATATCGTTTTTTATTTTCGTTTCGTTGTTTCTCAAGTGGATGGCATTACCGTGATACTAAAACTTATTTCGAAGTCTTTGTGCATTAAAAATACATTCTTTGGACAAGGGTTAAGAGCGGAACGAACAAGGTATAAAGAACGGAAGCGAGATCCCACTTATAGTGGGATCTATAAGTGCACTGTTGATCTCCATTTCCCGATGACGTCATCAGGTCTCCCCAGTTCTTGGACCATCTGGCCACACTTCTTGGGAGAGGGAAGAGGTGTAGATTTCAGCCCCGCTAGGCTCACTTTTCCCTTGGCTGTGCTCCACCTTTCAGTATTCTTCTAAAACTGTTTTTTCTTGTCAAGAATTTAGTGTAACTCTCAGCGACTAGTTCTTACATTGATTACTTCTTCTTGCAGTATGACTGTTATTCAACGGCACTGAGAGTCAACGATATAGACTATGCATGGTGGATGGACCGTCACGGAGACCCCCAGTATTACTGGGTTGGGTCGCACGCAGGGGAACACGTTTGCAGCTGCGGTCTCACCGACGACTCCATAGACCCGAATTTGCCTTGCAATTGCGATGCAGAAGGCCCCTAGTGGGAATTGGACGAGGGGGCAATCACCAACGGAACAGCACTGCCCATCACGCAGCTCCGATTCGGCGGCCTTCAGTTCGACGCCCAGAAGGCGAATCATACTTTGGGCGGTCTGGTCTGCAGGGGCAAGGCTGCGTCGCCGGAAAACCCAGCAGAGTCCTGCTCGTCTCTGCGCCAAGCCGGACACGCTCACTCAGGTTATTACCTGATCAACACCAAAGAAGGGCGCTTGGATGTCGTCTTTTGCCGGATGGATCTGGAAGACACCGACGCGGATTTCCAGCTGAATACGGGTGCACGCATCGCAGAGGAGAGTGCCTATTTCGATGTCTATCGCACAAGTGACTTGTCAAGCGTAGGCATAATTACTTTCGAGGGGACCGAGGTGAACATAGGCAACGCGATGACTCCAAGCAACGGGACTTTTACAGCCCCCTTGGACGGCATTTATGCTTTCCATTTCCATTTCTTGGGCATCCTGAATCAAGATACTTATGTGGTTCTGAGACAAAACGAAGTACACAAGGGATGGACGTACACACCTAGTAGTAATTTATGGCAGAATTCAGGCAATTCCTTCCTCCTCAGACTTCATCTTGGCGACCAAGTCGACCTCTATTTGAATAGTGGAGGACTTCATTCAAACGATGTTGATAAATTTGGCCAATTTGTGGGATATCTGTTGCATCCCATGTAGATAAAATGGATCGCGGTCGGCCATATTGCAGTATGCTACTTTTGTCTCTGCTTATCGCTTGATTTTTTCTATGAACAACTGTATGCCAACTAAAACTACTCGAAGGCAAGCTGCATTTTGAATCTCCGTCACTGACATCGCCTAGAGTTGGGGCCTATGTCTAGCGTAGAAAAGGATGCCACCGCCCGCCCGAAATCCCGGTAGTAGCCGACAAAGAAAGGGGTAAAAAAAAAAAAGTGAGGGGCTATTGCTTCACGCCATGTGACAACAGGAGATGCCCCTAAACAATATTTCTTCTGCTCTCCAGTCCCATAACAGAAATGCTTTTGGTATGCAAATGAGCAGATTTATGTTTTTTTTAATCAAATATTTCCGCTTGATAAGGACCTGAGGTTGGATTTTTTTTTTCTCCCACTGGGAATCAAGTTCATATGAAAGGTCAATCATTGATATCAATATAACAGGTGGGAATCGTTGTGGCGCAATGGAAATAAGCAGGGTCCTGTCATCCAGTGGTCTGCACTTCGAATCCCTTACGGTACTTTATCCATTTTAAATATGGNAATCATTGATATCAATATAACAGGTGGGAATCGTTGTGGCGCAATGGAAATAAGCAGGGTCCTGTCATCCAGTGGTCTGCACTTCGAATCCCTTACGGTACTTTATCCATTTTAAATATGGGAACCAAATACCATAGATTAATTTATTCCTGTCATTGCATATCACCAGTTATACTACCAGAGACGATATATACCAGGGCCAGTCAATAAGTTTGGATCCTGGCATTTCCAGAAAAAAAATGCATGAGGATCAAGAATATAATGTCCTTGAATGTAGTCCTGTTGGAAAGGCACACATTTTTTACTGCGGTCATACAGTCGCGCGAAACAGGGTTGCAGACCATTTGATGCAACCATCTTCAGTGTTGCTGTCCGCATCGCTTGCACCTCCTCAACGTGATGAAAATGACGACCCATCAGGCGAAACTTTAGGCGCGGGAAGAGAAAAAGTGACGCGGAGCCGGTCTGACTGTACTCGGGCAAGTACGCGGCTTGGGGATGAACATTTCACCTTGTGCCTAACGAAGCCCCAATGACAAAATTGTGAGCCGGAGCTTTGTCGTCCAGAAATGGCCACCCTCCAGTCACGAGTCCACTTTCGGCGAATGGAATCGCCTAAACGTTGAAGGATATTTTCATATGATTTCCAACTCGTAGTGCACATTGGGCGTATTGTATCTCACATCGCAGCATAGGGAGTACGTGCCACTTAAAGATGACGCTAGACGCATATTCCTTTTATCCATGCAATAAATAGATAAATTTTCATCTCTTTCGCAGATGAAAATTAAGACGCACCCCAAGTATAGATTAAAACTATCTCCATCTTTTCAAGAGATAAACGCATATGCCACGGAAAGGAATGGAACATGTATTTGCGATCACCAACGGAACGGCATTACCCATCACAGAGCTCCGGTTCGACGGCTAGAAGGCGAATAACCCTCTCGGCGGACCGGTCTGCAGGGGCAAGGCTTTCCCTACACATTTTACGATGCGTCTATGAAGCAGATGCAGGCATCGATCGAACAAACCGAGTCGTGCGAGCAGCAAATAAGAGCGATGTGAACATGTTTGAGGTCTTCAAAATTCCCAGCTCCAACGAGGAGAAAGGAAGGGCTAGGGAGGAAGGAAGAGTATTGAGAAGTGTCAAATCTCCCAAATTGTTCAGTGGTCAGATACGATTAGACACACAAGATAAATTGTCAAGCGTCTGATTTGTTCAACTTTCCTAATTTTGTTAACCCCTTCGTGCTCCGAAACCCATGAACTCCTTAGCAACTTTCCCCTCATTCTGTGCGCATACTTTTTGCTTATGATATCTCTTATTGGATGAAATCCTCTTCCATTCCAGGGGGAGGGACTCTTATTCTTCGTTTACTTTTCCCTTGGCTGTACTCCACTTTTCAGTGTTCTTCAAAAAATGCTCTTTTATTCGAAGAATATGGAGGGACTGTTAGCAACTGCTGCTCAAGTTACTATTTTACGACGGCGCTGACAGACAGCAGCACAGACTATGTATGGTAGGTGGACCGTCACGGCGATTCACAGTACTACTTGGCTGGGTCGAAATGTAGGAGGTACTTATTAAGAATCACCTTGCTAATCGGGTCGAACGGATGAACCTTGCACGCATGTCTTGAAATAAGGGTTATAAAGACCGCGCGAGCGAGAAGGTGAAGTGCAGAGAGAGAGAGTGGAGCAAGGTAGTAAGATCAAGAGTAATGTAGAGTGAGTGTGTGTGTGTGTCGGGCTGTCTGTTGGGTCGAAAGCCATGTACAGGGTGCGTAAGAAGTTCTGTTACAAACTTTGGACTCACATAGAATGTCTCCCGGGTAGAATCTTTTACAAGCCTATGGGTGTGCGACTTGTATGGACATGTAGCTTAAAGTTGCAGATGAAGCAATGGTCTCATCAGTTCCTATCCAATGAAAGAATAACGAAATGAAGAGGATAAGGCATCCAGTTCGTGGACCATCTGGCCACACTTCTTTAACCATTAAGAGTCGGTTGACGCAAATACACGTCAGCCTATGTTAGCTCGGTCGACGTATCTCCAAACTCGAGTTTGATTAAATCCGTTGCATTTAAGGGATTTCCCCGAAAGTTTATCGGGAGGTTTCTGGCACCTATTGCATTCCCCCGCTCAAAGGGTTCCTTTCCCAAAGGCGCGGGTCTGTTTTACCGCGGTCGTGCAGTCGCGCGAAATAGGGTCGCAAACTCATGCAACCATCTTCAGCGTTTCCGTCCGTATCGCTTTCACCTCCTCAACGTAGTTTAACACGATTCGATGGGACACACGGAGACTGACCACTGTCCGGATGAAGGACGCTTTATTCGCAACATCGTTTGCGATGCTTTAATGAAGCAGATGCAGGCATTGATCGAGCAATCGAAGTCGTGCGAACAGCAAATAAGAATGAGTCGGGCCTGTTAACGTCTTCGAGATCTACACCCTTTCCACGCATGTGGATAATATGGTATGTTCCAAAATACTAACAATCATTAAATGCAATGAGACAGACGGAGAAGATTAGACCATTAACTCCTAAAATTTGTGTCATTTGTTTCATGCCCCGAAACCTGGGGACTCCATAGCAAGCTTCCATTCATTCTCTGCGCATTTTACAGGACGGTTCAAACGAATCTATACAACTTCAACAGCTTAAATAATCATAAGCCATTTAATTTTGATATACACTCTTTTGGAATGATGTATATTATTTAAATTTCTCTTCCTGGATTAAATCTTTTACCATTCTTGGGGGGGGGGGGGTGTAAATTGAACCTCCGTTAACCCAACTTTTCCCTAAATTGCGCTCAACAATTCAGTATTCTTCTAAAACTGTATTTCATTGGCAAGAATTTAGGGTAACTGTCAGCGATTGGGGCTTCCATGGAGCGCTTTACACTTGCAGTATGACTACTTTTCGGCGCCATTGAGAGCCCGTAATATACAGGGTGGCTGAAAAGTAACTCCCTATTGAAAATTGCTTATAACTTTTGTAAATAGTACCACATTTGCATGAAACAAAATGTATTGTGATCCTTACAGTGGTAGAATTTAATTGATGATCTTTGATTTCATCTCACAATGACGAGAGCAGCCCATAATGGCCCGTCGCCTGACACTGCGTGAGCGATCTCAGCTGGCCTCCCGTTACGAAATGTGGCAGTCCGTGGTACAGGTGCAGAGATGGTGGCGAAATGTTCACGGACTCCGTGCTTCAGTGGATGCCAAGACCATCAGGAACTGCCGTTCCAAGCTGATGAATACGGGATCTGTGGTAGATACTCGCAAAAGTGGTCGTCCCTCGACATCCAGGTCGGAGGAAAATGTGCAAGTGGTGCAGGATATGTTCATCCGAAGTCCCAAAAAGTCAACACGCCAGGCCGCTCGTGAAAGTGGCCTAACTCGCCACACGATCCAAACTGTTTTGTCTCGACATCCAGGTCGGAGGAAAATGTGCAAGTGGTGCAGGATATGTTCATCCGAAGTCCGAAAAAGTCAACACGCCAGGCCGCTCGTGAAAGTGGCCTAACTCGCCACACGATCCAAACTGTTTTGGAGAAGGAGTTAAATTTTCGTCCTTGGAAGCCGCATTCTTGTCAGGCACTCTCGGCGGAAGACTGTGATCGTCGGATGGAGTATGGGGAGATCATGCTTGCTTGGTATGCAGACTGGCCCCAGTTGTTTAACAACATCGGTTGGAGTGACGAAGCCGTGTTTCATGTGGGGAGATTTGTGAACCGCCACAATTGTCACTATTGGGCACGAGAGGATCCTGGGGCCACTGTTTGAAAAGATGCAAAATCGCCCTAAGGTCACAGTGTGGTGCGGCATGACATCCAACCAGATGGTGGGCCCATTCCTTATTCGGGACACAATGAATGCAGATCGGTACCTAACCATGCTGGATGATGATGTTTGGCCAATTGTGTCCACTTGGGACAACGTCAACAACCTCATCTTCATGCAAGATGGTGCCCCTCCTCATTTTGCACTCACTGTCCGTAAGGTCACAGTGTGGTGCGGCATGACATCCAACCAGGTTGTGGGCCCATTCCTTATTCGGGACACAATGAACGCAGATCGGTACCTAACCATGCTGGATGATGATGTTTGGCCTATTGTGTCCACTTGGGACAACGTCAACAACCTCATCTTCATGCAAGATGGTGCCTCTCCTCATTTTGCACTCACTGTCCGTGAATGGCTCGACATCCAATTTCCGGGACGTTGGCTGGGTCGTCGTGGTCCACATGAATGGCCAGGAAGGAGCCCTGACCTTACGCCATGTGACTTTTCCTGTGGGGGTGGGCGAAGGAGGAGGTTTACTGCACCAAACCAGAAACTCTGGATCAACTGGAGGATCGCATTCAGCATGTTCTGACCAACATACCACCGGAGTTCCTGCTGAAGTCAGTCGAGGTTATTCCCAGACGATTACAGAAACTGGTGGAGAACGCTGGTGCCTATGTGGAATTTTAACACTGCAGACAATTTCTACCATTCTACGGTCCACAGTAAAACTTGTTTCACTACAATCGACCAATAATTAGTAAAGTTATTAGCAATTTTCAATAGGGAGTTATTTTACAACCACCCTCTATATTAGATATTTAATACCTGAATTCAAAACACGCATTCTCCGGATGAAAGCTCTTGCATTGCGTTAAAAATGAAGTGGTATGATTGACAATGAAGCGCTTTAGTTGGATCAATGTCCAATGTAATTCACAAGATTGGCCAGAAGTGGCTGGCAGTTATCTAGGCTCTCCTAACCCAGTGAAAAGAAAGCCCAGGTCCTCTACCTCAATCATCAACTTTGAAATGGTCATTTGCGAAACTCCAGTCACGAAAAAACGTTTGCAAGGAAGCTGAGAATAATCCTCTGATGTGTCAATGAAATGATCCATGTCTTGATTCATTGTCGACGGCCCTACGAGAAGCATTAGGCGGGCGAAAAGTACAAAAACGTTGCCACACTGGAATCACCAACCCATCTCTCAGAATGCAGCAAAAAGCTATCTACTACTAACTGAAGTATGCAGAAGCCGTCGAACCTATTTACCGAGAGGGAGCAGAAAGTTTCTCCACTGGATTCGTAGTCGTCGCTGCTGCGAGCTACAGAGGCTAACTACGAGGGGATAATAAATGTAGTTCAAAAGATTGACGAAAAGGTCAGAATAAATTCCAATTACCATCAAAAACCAGTACTATGTCGCATTCTTTTAAAAAAATATTTACTGGTCTGTATGGAGAAGCAGGCATGCATGTGAAGTTCCACTTAGAAAAGGCCAGCAGTAACATCTGTAAAGCGGACCACGGATTTTCTTGGATGCTCGGAGAAAGAAACCGGAATCGCCAACATCCTATCTCTCATATCCTGTGAAGTCATCTGACTGCCCAGTTAGATTCCTGCGCGTTTCTAGTCCTCAAACGGCGCTTCGCCCGAGACGCTATCGTAACTTTGTGATACGACCAGTCGGAGCGATGCCGTCTCACAATATTTTCACTTTTTTCCACCAAAAATTTCCACCAATTTCGGACTTGTAAGTCCTTCCGTCTTTTTTTGAGCAGCTCGAAACATCGGAGTAACCGAGGCCTATTGTATGCATCACAGCATACGAACCGTGGGATTTCGATCGCATTCGCGAGCGACGAAAAGCAAAGAAACCTCACGTTTGAAGGCCGCCGAGTCGCTACATTCTTCTCACTTCTCATCGCATGCAAAGGGTCTGAATGGGCGCACGGAAAGGCGATTTCGCCACATCTAGAGGTCGGCGGAGGATTTCTTCATTCCATTCTTGAGCCTGTCGGTAGAGAAAGCTGGCTTAAGTTGCGAGAATCTGCGTTTCTGGGAGGTCCGAATGCTTTTGCAAAATGCGGGAGTTTCTTTTGTCATTCTATCATTAATGTGTAGGAATATTAACGTATGAATAGAAACGTAGAAATATAAAGTACCTGAGAGTACTTTCTATTCCATAGTGCCAGTGGCGTGCGACGGTCACAGCCACAGGTCATGCATATGTTCAACGGTGAATGAAAACAATATAAAAGAAGACCTACCATTTGTAGACAAAGGCCAACTGACTTGAGTTAAATAAAATGCCATCAATATGATGGAAGTGGACGCAAAATTAAACTAATACGGAATGTGGGGCATACTTATGATATAGGTAAACGCCACGTTTCTCTCTTCTAAACTGGTCATGCAGTGCATTACTTGCATGCCCTCACCATACGCCATTGTTTGCATGGAAGACCGTTGAATAAATTTTAACGGGTTCTGGGATGCGAGACCTTGGCTGATACCTGCATTGTGCAGGTATCAGCCACACTGACACTCTACAAAAGCCTGACATTCTACAAAAGGGTGCGGCAAGAGCTCGAACACCGTTTGGACATCGGCATTCATAAGTGGTTCCCACATGAAATTGCTATAGCAGGTAAAAAAATGCTTGCTCTTTCCTTTACTGTTTTAATCAATTCCTTTTATGCATTTTAAAGAGAGTTATTCATTTAAAAAATGCTTCCATACCTTTTGGGACACCCTGTATTTGTATATACAAGGTACGAGAACATTTATTTATATATTAATTTACTTATCAAATTCAGGCTTGAGACCAACAAACATGCAATGGGTAAGCTACAACATATTTGAGCTCGCATGGAGACGCACTCACAACAGGATGAGCCTCACGAATGCGAAAGATGAACTAGGCATCGATTGGTAACAGCAAACTGAGCAAACTTGGGGGGGGGGGCGCGAACTTCGGCCTTGACGTTTTTCTCAGAATTCGGGAGTTTTAAGATCTAAATTAAGTATAAAAAAAAAGGGGAAAAAGGAAGAAAAGTAAACAAACCTAGGAATTTCCAAGAAAAACCTATCAAATATTCTAAGAAATTATTTTAAATATCAGACTTATCAGTATAAGATTAATCATCGTGTTATGTGAGGGTTTAATTTAAATACAATATGCTTGATTCCTACTTGCAATGTCGCGGGCAAATCACCAATTATATGATTAAAATATTAAGTTAGTAAGAAACTACAAAAAATAATTGAGAGCAAGTGTGCAGGCCTACACTTTTGCTAATAACTATGAAGGTAGGGCTGTCACGATAGGTCGAAACATCGATACTACTATCGATGGTTCAAGGTATCGATAGTTTCTTCGGCCATCGTCATGTATAGGCAACATTTTTGAAGGGGAAATGTTCCATTGGATTGAGGCGAGTAGAAGTGCAATACAGTCCGTCTGGGCGGAGAAAGAAAGAGGCGATGTGACCCGCATGGTCTTGCAATTTCTTATCACGATCAAATGCCGGGACTGACTATAAGAAAGACGGGAAGGAAACGTTGGAATCGGAGACAGGAAGTGGGAAAGGAGAGGGTGGAAGTCCAATAACGTTCTCTTCTGTTTCAGTCTTCCACTTTACGCTACGCAATTTACTCCCTTCATTTAAAAACGTACATTGGTTAATTCCCCTCTCTATATTTCTGCCTTTTTCTTTAGTATGCAAGTTTGCGAATTTTTTAACTTGCACTGCATAACAGGCATTTTTACCTCTTTACTGCAGGCAAACTGAAAGTGGATTTTCTTTTACATGGACCTTTAAATATGGGCTGTAACGATGTTTCGGTGACTACTGGTATCACACCATCGACATATCTGTCGGTGCCAATGTCCAAAGAAGCCCTTGTGGAACAAAGAAAAAGAGAAAAAAAAACTACGTGAACGGGCAAGGCAACTGATTCTCAACGGCAATAAGAAAAAATTACGGCAGTCCTGATGGATCCATCTATGAAAGAATATAATTTTCGATAGTTGGAGGCTTCGTAGGCTTCATTACTCGTTGCGAAGGTCGCACCTTCCCCCCGAAGGTGTGACCTGACCCCGATATTGATCGGGGGGATCATTATCGTGAGATAATGGAAGACGGATGGAGGTCCGCGACCCGACGGAGGCAAGAAACGACGAAAGTCAAACCTCCGTCCGACCGCGGCAGAAAAAGATTCAGCACCCCCCACCACAGAGGGAGGGGGAGCCTCCCCCTCCCCGCGAGTGCATCGGTACGCTATCGATAGGTCAGGTCGATGCATCAATGTTCAGAAAACTGCCATCCTTACAGCCCTACAATAAAGTATTTTTAAAAGAACCTAAGAAAATAAAAAAAACAATAAATTGCATAACATATTCGTGTTACCTTTTTCATACCTACTTACTCGAAATTATAGTCAGTTTCTAATGAACGGGACCGGTGGGGGGAGGGGGGGGGGGGGGGGGGAAAAAGGGGGTAACATATTCGTGTTACCTTTTTCATACCTACTTGCTCGAAATTATAGTCAGTTTCTAATGAACGGGACCGGTGGGGGGGGGGGGGGGGGAGGGGGAATAGGGGGGCGCGACCTGAAAAGTTTGCGCACCGCTGGTCTAGAAGATGGTAGCATGGAGAGGCTGGGACCTTACATTGTTCCTCAAATCGATCTGATATCCATGATGAACAGGAGTAGATGGAACAGGGTGAAGCTCCAGTCGACCAAGTGGCAAGGGTGCACCTGAGACATTGGCTCTACCTCATGGAAACCGCACACACACCTGAAAAATCATGGAAATCTTGCGCTGAAAAATCATAGAAAAATCATGCCACAAATGCAAGCAAAGGACATCATCAACACATTGGCAAACGGTGCAGCAGCCAAGTACAAAAATAGTTCTTCTGAGTCGAATTTATATGTTACTTGATGAATGCATCAAGGAACAGCCTTGAGCTATGAGACTATGAAAAAAAAG